TTCCATACAAAAATACACCCAAGTAACTGTCTATTAATTATAAGTCTGTTGGACTGGGTTAATCATTATTAAAACTTAAACTAAATTGTTTCATTGACAATGTTTGTGCCTCATTAATCTATTTGTTCACTGTATTCCTGTAAATTTTTGCCTTCGCTAAATTACAAATATAATGCTGTTGTTTTTTGTTTTTTTTTACATTTTTGTGTAAACTAAATTAACAGTTAATTTTTTTTTGTAATTTCTATATGTGATATTTATATATTATAATAATATTACTAAAAAGGTATCAACTTCAGGATTATCATATGGTTACATATCTTGAAATCTATACATTTTGAATAAACATTTTCTGAGATTTTCATACAATTATTTTGTGTTTTTTTTTTACTGGACGCTGCGTTTATAATTAAATTGCAGGATGGACACAGATTTTGACGATTCCATCAGAACTTGACCTTTGACCTAGCCAAGCAGTCACAGATTCTATGTTTGAGGAAATATTTTTTTTTTTAACATCCAGTCATTTAGGTTTACTTGGTAATTTAAATAGTAGCTGTAGGTAATATCATCTGACACGATTCTTTAATTCACCATCACAATCGCACTCAACACTACAGCTAATGCGCAATGAACGTATTCAAAACATTTCATTAACAAAACTTCAGCAGAATGCTCGAAGTTTTCAACATCCACATCTTTCTTTTACTTGAGTTTTTTTATTTGTTTCTATGAATTGCATAATTAATGTTTCATTGCTATTTATGAGGTTTTTATGTTTTTCGCACTTAATATTTTATTTTTCTAATATATTAACACTAAGTATAAATCAGGACCGCCTCTTGCCTAATACATTCATGGAATTGTGTTGAGTTGTCTAAGAAAGATTAAATGTTTTTTTACAATTTTTCCTTTTTTCGAAACAGAGTATATTCAACAACATTAAAATCCAAACATTTCAAAACAAAAATAACATTGTTTAATTTTTAAATCGTAATACCGAATCAAAAATTAATGAGATCTAAACAGCTGTCTTATTTTAAACAAAACATAACATTAAAAATAGGAGGAGGGAGTGTCGAATACGTTGGACAAGGATAATGGGGTCTCCAAAAATAATTAACCCCAACAAATTTATTTTTCACAGTGAATTTTTTGTTAAACCATAAATAATTAGTTGCAAAACACCTGCATTTTTTTCTTTAAAATTATAACATGCTTGTATACAAACAACGAAAGAAAAAAAAAACATGCCTTATTTAAATGGATGCGTAGAGACAAAAAGAGTTGATCGAATAAGTGTACACAGTGACCATTGTCCTCTTAAATGTACACAGAGACCATTGTCCTCTTCTAAACGCTTGTTAGAACTAGACAAGGATTGCGTTTGGAGGTTACACAGTAACATAGAATAGAAAACAAAATCTGTTACTCTTCACTATTTTCATTGCAAATAAGGAACATTCGGTTTATCAATGTGACGAAGAAAAATAAAAGCAATAAATTACTTTACAATAGCATTTCAACTTTAAAAATTCTTAAATTCAGTCTTTCCAAACCTTATTTGAAGACTACAAAATTAGAGTGCTTTAGAGTTTCCAGACACCTGGTAGGAAATCACGGCTTTAATTAATTCGGCAATATAGCATTTACTATAGTCCTTGAAAAATTTAGCAGCTTTTGAAAAGGGGAAGGAAGGGGTTAAAATATCTCCTAACAAATGTTGACGCTAATATATTAATTATTATTGTATGCTAATATATTAATTATTATTGTATGCTAATTAACTATAATAAATTAATGAATGTTGAAAAACAATTATATATTTTTTAAGTGATAAAATTTCAAAATAAAAGCATTAAGTTTTTAACAATAATTATTAAGTAGAAAAATGAAACTTCAGTTAAAACTTTAATAGTATATTTACATACTGGAACAAATAGATTTAATTTTGCACAACAACAAAAGGGCCTCAAAGAAATAAATATACCCAAGTGTTTGGGGGGCTTTGGGGAATAAGCCAATCAAATTGGTACATACACTAAACCGTTTTACGCAAGTATTTAATTACTGATGATGGGTTCAATATCTTTGTTCTAAGGCTTGTCTAACCGAGGATGTTGGTATCTGCAAACATCTTTTATGTTTCAACACTGTTTAAGTTCAATTTCAACTAATAAACCCATTACCTGGATAAGTCAGTGTTTTCATAGATGCTGTAATATGGTATTGAAAATCTGTTTTAAGATTTGTCTCGTAGAGTGAACAATACGAAAAAAATACCACCTTAACAATAATAATAATAATAATAATAACGACAATACCATTTTAATTAAACTATTAAATTTCTATTGTAAAAACAAAAAAAATCAAATATACAGAAACAAAAACTATGTAAATTTACAACAAGTGAAATGGTAAAATCCAGGAAAAAAATTAAAATATACAGAAACAAAAACTATGTCAATTTACAACAAGTGAAATGGTAAAATCCAGGAAAAAATTAAAATATACAGAAACAAAAACTATGTCACTTTACAACAAGTGAAATGGTAAAATCCAGGAAAAAATTCAAATATACAGAAACAAAAACTATGTCAATTTACAACAAGTGAAATGGTAAAATCCAGGAAAAAATTCAAATATACAGAAACAAAAACTATGTCAATTTACAACAAGTGAAATGGTAAAATCCAGGAAAAAATTAAAATATACAGAAACAAAAACTATGTCAATTTACAACAAGTGAAATGGTAAAATCCAGGAAAAAATTAAAATATACAGAAACAAAAACTATGTCAATTTACAACAAGTGAAATGGTAAAATCCAGGAAAAAATACAAATATTGATTTATTAAAAAATATAAAGATTACAATCTTGCAATTTTATAACCGCTCGTAAATATTAGGAAATATGGCAAAAATCTCTTCCGGCTAGGAAAGCTGTCGGCCTATATATATACATGGTGCTGGGGGGGCCGAGTGGTCTAAACTGAATGAAATAGCAAAACGAGGTATGCGGAAGCTTGAGTAAGGGAACAGGACAAAAAACAAGGACGTTTCGGCATAAAGCCTTCTTCAGCTAACAGTAGAAATGAAAATTTAACAAAGAACTGAGCACAATAGATAACTCAAGAAGTATCCATTCGTGTCGCCGGAAGTTATATTTTCATTTACTAAGCTTGAATGCAGTCCTTTAATTTATATTCTCTGGTCTAAACTGAGTGAATCTGGTGTTCTTGAGTTCAATTCCAGCCAAAGCCCAGTCAAGCAAAAACTCTGAATTCAAACCCGGAGATGGAGTCCCCATAGGCGGATAACATTGGTACTATGAAACATTCCGACAACTCCTGCGACACCACTGGTGCCAAGCCGTATTCTCCACATGATGGTCCCTTGTGTTATCCAGCGGCGTGGAGAGAGGCGATTTGCTGTTGGGAACAAGCTTATAATCCTAGAAAAATAATCCCAGTCCTTGTGGATCTCGTCCTGCAAATTCTTCACCATAGTCATATTGTAACGAACGGATGCCAGCAAAATATATATCTATATATAACATATAGGGATGAAATAAGCACCATCCAGAAAAGCATTTCTAGAAATTACGTCTCCTAACTTATAGCATTCTTTAGAACAAATGGTACGGAGCAAAATCAAAACATCATTTTCCCAACCAAGGTACGTTTGGTAAAAAGTGTAACGCAGCACATTTCATCGGTGGCGACATTATCGAGACACGTGGGGGTGGCTAATGTAGGCCAATTTACATTTCATACAAGTCTTCATGTATCATGTTTGGAATACTACCAAATCAAGAATTGTTTTTTTTTAATTGTCAGTACATCATTGCTGCAGGAATTACGTATATACATTACATCAACTACTAGGAGTGTATCTAGTATTATTCAACCCTGTGTGGGCAAGGCGTATTGCACCCCCCCCCCCCCACCCGAACTTCAAAAACCCGCGCGTCAATATCTGGTAAAAATTGTCCCCCAGGGAACCCCGCCTTCATTTTTTAATTGTAAGTACATCATTGCTGCAGGAATTACGTATATACATTACATCAACTACTAGGAGTGTATCTAGTATTATTCAACCCTGTGTGGGCAAGGCGTATTGCACCCCCCCCCCCCACACTCGAACTTCAAACACGCGCGCGTCAATATCTGGTAAAAATTGTCCCCCAGGGAAACCCGCCTTCTTCCTAAAGTTAGGGACAACTACGATTCCTCGGGAAAGGTCCAATTTGTGACCTAGCTGGACTCCCTTGGTAGTATCAGTTTCAATGCATAGATTTTTACGCTACGCATGGCTGAGATTTTTCGGTTAAGTGTGAACTATGGTCTATATTCTGAATAACGTACCGGGTAGCAATCTCACCAAACGTATGGTCAAGGAAGCCAACAATCAGACTGAAACTGAGCGTGCCAATTAAAGAAGAAAAGATCAGCCCTGAACCAGGACGCTCTTGAAAGTGGACCAGGTGGAAGTCGTGAAAGAAGGAACATGTACGCTTGGAACACTCGAAACAAGGTAAAAATTAATCAGTCTATACTTTTCTACACCATCACATACCACAGGCCAGCGCCGCCCTTATCCCCCACGATCTCCTCGTGTCACATCATTTCACCCCTCAAAAAAATGCTTTCAACAAGACGCTACAGTTATAACTAAAGAAGACTGTTAAAGTTAACAGTGTATCCAAAGTTATACATATATTAATTTTGCCATTCTGGACAGAGTGAATTAGGTGACAAGCATAAAAGGCTTCCAATAATGAAAACGAGGTGAAGCGTATATGTTCTGTTCCCATATTCTAGTGATTTTACGCGAAGTGGGGTGTGGGGTGGTGTGGTAGCTTTAAAGAAAATCAATATAAATATGTTCAGTCCTGTCTTTCTTTCATTTTTTTTTTAAACAGAAAAAGGATTTTCTTAGAAAACCAAAGAAATGCTCAGGTCAGGGATGTATATAAGGTGTCGTCTCACAAAAAAGTCAAGTTATTTGAAAGCCACCGTAGGAGAAAGGTAAATAGCATACATTTGTTTCTAAGTAAATAAATATACTAATAATTCCTCCACTACCCACTCTAGTGATTTATCTACACATTGTTATGCCTCTAACACGTATATCTTATGCACATATTTCATATCCTACTTTTACGTTACTGTTTTTAAGTTTTAAAGTACTATAGATAGGTTAGAATTTTTTTTTTTGGGGGGGGGGTAGAAATAATTTTGGATCAACTTCATTTACCTTTTTTCTACTTTATTCTAATTTGAATTATAACACAATTTAAAATTATTTTTTTTTTAAATCACTTATTTTATAGGTAAAATTTTTACTCTTCTTTCATATTTTTTTATTTTTTAATATCGACCCCCGTATATTTTCTGCACTTAATATGCACGATTCAACATGCAGTGTTTCATTCCCAGGTATTCGGCATGTCAGTTCTTTCTTTAGCTAGCTTAGGAAAATTCTGCAGAGTTGAACATTCGGTGAAAAGCTGTGTATCGGTACCATGGGCGCCCGCAGAAAACTTTCTAGGGGGGGGGGCAAAAAAAATCGATTTAACTTTCCAGGGGGGGGGGCAAAATTTTTTTAGTAAGGTTTAAATATATTTTTAATTTACTGTAGCGTATTTGTATGGTGAACGAACGGACAGGACATCAGCTTAGTTACTTTCTCTTTATTTTCTCTTTACTTTAATACATTTTTTGTCTATCTTTGTCTAAAATTTTTTATCCAATCAATCCAGGGGGGGGGGGCCTTGCCCCTACCTGCGGGCGCCCATGATCGGTACCACAATTTTTAAGATTCCCCATTCGAAATGCATGCAGTGGAGTATCCAGACTTTGAGACGTTCGGTCTGGTAACTGATTTTTGCACCCCTCCCTCTTTTCTCAATTCACGAAATCCACCACTGCCTACACGAAATAAAAAAGATATAAGCTGTAATGTTGGAGGTTAATGTAAAAAATAAAATTCCAAATTTTAAAAAAATCAAACAATTAATTTTAATATTTGATTTAAACAAAAAATCTAAAACAAGAAGATCATTTGAAGAATTAAAATATTTAAAGAATTTACCATGCGTTTTGATTACGCAGAACTTTCAGATCATTTTAGAATCATCGATCTTTCAATGTCTTTAGAGCATAGACAGGTACGTGTTAAAACACGAGGCTCACTTGTCAATGTTACCCTGCTGACAGGATTCAGCTTGCGCGCTCTTGTGCTCAATGACAATTCGGACACGCTGCTATAAACGACACAGCTCTTCTATTAAATGCTCCACGTTTCAAATTAACCATTCACTTCAGTAATAATCAATAAATACACTTGGGACGTCGTCGCAAGGGGTGAAGGAAGCAGTTACTTCCAAATCTGGGTTGTGGGGAATAAAAATAATCAACCCCCACCCTCCGCCTACCCCATTTTTAGTTGTTTTTTTTTTTTTATTTTTTGTTTTTTTTGTTAGTTGTAAATCTGATTTTGAAATTCTCTAGGTTAAAAGAGTGACATGGGAAACGAAGACACAAAGACTCATTTTTTTTTTGTTTTGAATTGTGAGGCTTAGGCTTGGAAGTGAACTAAATCCTCTTGTATATATATTATATATCTATTAACAAGCTTATGTATTTGGAAATGATGCACACAAAAAGGAGAAAATGTAAAACACACCAATCTATATCAGTTCTTGGTTGTCCGAAAGTACACGCTTTCCTAGAGGTCAAAGTTCTGGAATACAAAAGAGTAGGAAAAGACAGAAAATACAGTAAAGCCATACTCTCCATACATTGACAGTAGGCTTCGAATTATTTATTATTTGTCATCCCGACTTTCACTGAACGGAATACAACGATTTTAGGGATGAACTAAGTTGCCTAACCGAGTTAAGCAATTTATTGATATGCTCTCCCCTTTTAGTATACCAGTAGACCTAAACAGCAGGTCTTAAAAATGTACCTTACCACAGTTCCTAAACCTGTGCTGCAACACTATTAGTCCTGAATCAAAAACAAAACAAACAAAAAATCGATAGAAATAAGGTAGAGAACAATCTAATCAAAAATATTTTGGTACAAATCCATTATAATACGTCATATCGAGCAAAGGGAGGTAAGGCTACTTTTCTTTAAAGTAACGTGCTTTATAAGAATCCCAATTAGAGCCCCCCTCCCCCCCTCCCCCCAATGAGGGCTCGCAACCACATATTTTTTCACTTCCCTGAACTATACAAATATTCCAAATCCCACACAATTTTACAGTGCAGTTTAATATCACCAGCACTTTGGGGCTAACAATTTCAAACAATGCGTTGGCATTGACAACACGTTTTTTAACACATTAGCCCATGTTCAGCTTGATAGGTTGGCGTAAAGGGGGTCAATTATCCGTACGAAGATTTTTGCCAATCAGCCAACCATACAAAAAACAAAAGCGAAGTTAATATAAATGATTTTTAAAGAATAAAATACGTAATTTTATCCTACAGCGTGTGTATATTAACTGATTTTTTTAAAATTTTCTAGACGTATATTATATAAGTACGTTATTATTTTGTGTTTAATATGTCGAAATTCAGATGTTCCAGGTCACCGTTTTGGCATTGGTCGTAGCAATGTCTTGGCCGTCCGCGTGTGCCGATGACGACTGGGCCGCTTACAAGACCAAGTACAACAAAGCCTACACCGGTGACGAGGACAACCGCAGGCGGGCGATCTGGCAGGACACCATGACGCAAGTGAGGGAACACAACGCGCTGTACGCTCAAGGGAAGACCAGCTTCTTTATGGCTGAGAACGCTTTATCGGACGTGGTTAGTTTTCTGATCGAACCAATAAAATAATATATATATAGGTAAACTTCGCCTCGGCGTGTTAACTTAAGCCCCCCCCCCCCCTAAAAAAAAAAAAAAAGATCACCTTAATAGCGGGATTACGTTAGATAGGGTTTTTCCACAAATTTCGCTGTGAATATCAATGGGATTTTATTAAGTACGAAAATAGATGATAATTTGTTTTATTAAAAAGTTCTTAATTTTAGAAGAACAAACAATCGCATTCTGGTTAATGAGTTGTATGTTTGCTAATATGGACCAGTTTTAGTAATTGGGCCACCATGTTGTGTTCACTTTCTTTGAAAATTAAAAATAAATAAAAAAATCATGTGAAACTGAAAATTTTAAGAAATGTTGGGTGCCACTAAAAGACCGCCTGATATGCGAATTCGTCTTGTAGAGCGGGGCGCACTAAACTGGGGTTTGACTGCATTGATGAAAACGATTGTTCATTTGTGTCATGAAAGTGTCATTGCATCAAATCTTGTATTACGCGTTGCGTCAAATTTGTGCAATTATTTAATTGTGGCTTGATCCCCACCACCATACCTAAATTTAAAAATAAAAAAATGGTATATTTATTTCTTGAAATTTAATTCACTTATAGCCATCTTAATAAGTATCGTTGCTGTATAAAATACTCACATAATATAAAAGCAAGGTAACGAATTGCAATCGTTGTGTCCCAAAAAAACTCCAGGCTGAAAAAGAAAAAATTTTTTTTCAAAGATATGACATAAATAAAAGGAGCTATGCTTAAAAATTGTATTAAAAGGCATTTAAAAAGCTGCGTAAATGATTCGTTCTTTAATCCGTGTCTTTATAAATGTCTCCTTGGTTTCCATTGTAATATAACAAACGTATTAATTTTGGTTTAGAGTTTAGATGAGATCTCTGATGCACAAGACAATTATGTGGAACTTGAAGACAATGTTGAGACGCCTGTCAGTGAGAAGCTGGTGAGCCAAGCTAAAAACATACCAGAGAGTGTCGACTGGAGGGAGGAAAACATCGTAACGGAAGTGAAAAATCAAGGTCCTTTTGGGTCATGCTGGGCATTCGCTGTGGTGGCTGCAGTGGAAAGTCTTCATTTAAAGTCAACTGGAGAGAAAGTTCTGCTCTCGGAGTCAAACCTCGTTGACTGCGCCACAAGTGGGTTCTATAATTATTTTGATGTATAAAATTAAATAAATAGCTCTATGTATTTATAAGATGGAACTCTTCTTTGGAATAGCATCTCTACTAGAGCCGAAAGGACAATTAAGTGAAGAAGTCTTTAGTGTATTCAAATTGACCCCAAAGTAACGGCATTACCCACTCACTTGCCCCGAGACAGGTGATGCACCTGTAGACTTCGTGCTCCAGTCTTGAGCTTGTGTGTGGGCAAGGGTGGCAGGCGGGTCCTAACTTGTTAACATGTTTAAGGTCACCGCTAGGTGGCTGCAGATTGCTGCCAACTTGCTAGTTAGCCAGATCCCTTCAAACGATTAAACCTAACCCCCATACTCCCACCCCCCCTTACCTCTTTTTAATCCCCCTGTTTTTAAAACAAGTGCATGTATTTATGTTCCTCAAAACACTATCTCTCAGGTGAGGGTTGCAATGCTACATCTCGTCTCAAGGCTTTCCAATACATCATTGACAATAAAGGCATAGCTACACAAGCAAGCTACCCGTACATCCCTCAGGTAAATGTGCTGTTTGTTTCCACGACGTTGAGAGAATGACATGTTCTCTAGCCTTAAATTAAACAATAGTGCTTCGAAGAGAACAATAATTAAATGAAAGCTTTCTAAAACAGGTTTACTAGACATTGTACCCGGTGATGCTCTGGTTTGAATTCGGGAAAGAAGTTCTAAAGCACTACCATCTTGCATGTGCATTCAGTGTCCTTTCAATGTCACTTGGCAAAAGTACACATCAACATTAAAAATTGTGTCCTATCAATACCAGATTTATTAAAACCCGTGCCAACATTTCACTTTTGGGCAAAGGCGATTTCAGTTAATATTAAGATTCTAACCCGTAAACAAATTTGATTTACAGACAAATCTAACTTATAAAAGATATCCCATTCAATACTTGGGAGAGGAAAATCCTCAGGAAAATCACAGGCTCAGTGATAGGCTCAATGATGTTTGGAGAATCCGTACAAACAATAAGCTATATCAATAATCGTACAAAGAACAAACCTAAATCGCAGGAATAAAAACAGACAAAGTGCTTGGACAGGACATATTGAAAGGATGTTGGATTATAGAGCAGGAAAAGTGATCGACAGGCGGGTACCTAGGGGCAGACGGCTCACCAGTCGACCAAGACTGAGATGGGGCAACGATGTAAAAAAAAATGGACTTACACCAGTTGGAGCTTCGAGCATAGAGGCAGAAAAAAATGGATCAACCCGAATGGGGAAAGAAGTAAGCCTTGGTTTATGTGGTAGCAATGCCATGGTCCATCTTTCTTGTAGTTAAACAAGTTCGTGACCCTCTCCGAAGCCTTCTTACAAATAATCACAATGAGTCTAAGCATTGTTTGACATTAGAAACTGTGACGAATGGTTTCAAATGACGTCGTTTGGACGCTATATCTTCACGGCGGAAACTTGATTCTCACTTTTAAGGTTCAAGGTCAGAATGGGAAGTGTGTTACTGTTTAGTAACTGTTAATAAACAACATCACTCATTTTTACAATAGTATACATGTTTGATATCACAGAAAAAGAGACGGTAATTGGGTGCAACCCCTTTCCTGTCGTAAATCTCTTGTTTGCCATTTAACTATAAAATATGATGCATGACGCATAGCATATTTTTAAAACAGAAATGGAACATGCTCCAGAATGACAAGAGATTAAGGTTGAGATTCATGTGGACAGAAAATCGATGGAACGTCCACCAAACAACAAGTGAAGTAACTTTGAGAATTGTGGGGTACTGCAGTACCCACTAATGGTTTGGCGTGGACAAGATGATTATTGCATTGGATGCCCAAGCGCAATCCGAATTCCAAAGCTTCTCATAAGAAAACATTTTCGGGGTCAAAACCAATTTCTGGCCCACCGGCCTAGCCGCACTAAGTCGCTAAAGAGCCCCATGCACCTCGCGAGCCACGATTTGCCGACCACTGTCCTAGGCAATACGAATGCTCACAGTCCGGCAATGACATGATCGAGATAAATTGGTAAGATATAATATTTTTGCTCACAGAAAGGCCCTTGCAACTTTTCATCCAGCATGGTCGGTGCACAAATAAAGTCGTATGTCCAGCTGCCTAGTGGAGACGAGACTGCTCTAAAGGAAGCTGTAGCCACGGTATATTGTGATGCATTGTTTCGTACTGCTTAATTATTTCTTTATATTTATTTTTGTTTATTGTCCCGATTATTAATTTGTGCAATTTCGTGTTGATAATAAATTATTGGGTTTTTTTTTAAACATTAAAAAAATAATAATAATAATAGTAATAATAATAATAATAATAATAATAATAATAGTTATTCCCTTTCGATAAACAGCTACGGAATTAATATGAATCAATTTATATAAACTGTTATTTTATTTACTGCACAAGTTAGAAGCCCGTGGCCCGACACGTTACACGTTACATATTGTGCCCATCGGACGCTGGGGACCTAACGATTTACATTACATTTTCATTTCATTCACGCTTCGATTCCTCCTTGTGATAAAAACACCTTTGAAAATCGATGGATCATAAAAATAATGTTAAAACCTGCGTTATATTTAAAGTCTTGATTAAATCGAAACAATTTATTTATATGTTATTGCAGTATGAGTAGATGTCTTATTACCTGAGAACTCCGTTAATTTACCTTTTTTTTGCGTCGTATTTATCATGCAGCACACATGCAAAATCTACACATGATCAAAATAACCTATGAGGCCATTTTAGTTCCCTTGCTTCCAAACCCCCACCCCCATGCCAATTTTAATCAGTTTCTTTTTTTAAAACAACAACATAAAACAGCCATGATATGACCACTTGAAACATTTTTTGCATACAAATGTTCACACAGTATCCAATGACGTTTTCCTTAACATTATGTTTTGCTTTTAGATAGGTCCGGTGACTGTGGGATTTGATGCAAATCATTCATCTTATAAAAGCTACGGTGGTGATGTTTACGACGAACCAGATTGCAGCAGAAGTAGACTCACTCACGCAGTATTGGTTGTAGGGTACGGTAGCCAGAACGGCAAAGATTACTGGATTCTGAAGAATAGGTGAGATGGTAATTTCAAAAGTGTGTTGTTTTTTTTTTTAAATTTTTTATTGTTTTTTTTTATTTGTGTTTTTTTTTTTTTTTTTTTTTTTTTTTTTTTTTTTTTATTTTTTTTTTTTTTTTTTTTTTTTTGTGTTTTTTTTTTTGTTTTTTTTTATTGTTTTTTTTTTTGGTGTCGTAAGCGTTACGTTTAGTGTACAGGGTTAACACCTGTATCGAATAACAGTAGCACGAAAAAATGTCACATTCGTTGCTCCCAACCTAATATGTTATGGAAAAGTGCTGTGGAGCTTCAACAAAAATTATGCTTCAATATTAACAGTCTCATTTGCAGGCATGTCACTCCTGTCTGTTGAAATACATTTGGTCAGAACACACGTGTTCAAACACTTAAAGTTGAAATAGTAATTTGATTCTTGTAAGTGATATGCTGAGGAAACATTTTAAAAAATGTACATGCCGCGTAGTGTTTCTCTTCAGCTTCTATTGATGACTGTAAAATTACAACAACATAAAAAAAGCATAGCATTTTTGTATATTAACTTTAAAAATAATCGAACTATTTCTTTGAAGGTGAGTCTGATTGAGCTAGCTGCTATACCATTTCTTACATATTCTTTGGCATGTGTAGTTGTGTTTCTTTTATCTTTCCAAATCCTCTCAATTTTGACAGCACAATAATCAATTTCAGTAGTTTGTGAGATCATATTCAGCTAATACACACCAGGCAAAAGGCATCTCCCAATTTGACTATTAGAGCAAACTCCATCTGTGTCCTGCGTCCTTATGACTCGAGGTTCAGTTTGAGATTTCAAAAAAGTAGTGCTATTTGATACCGTTAAGTTTTTCGTCCGCAGCTACGGCTCTTGGGGCCTTAACGACACAGGCTATATGCTGATGGCGAGGAACAAAGAGAACATGTGCGGCATCGCTACCAGAGCAATATATCCAACACTGTGTGGTGGAATAGAAGAGCAAGAAGGGCTTACACCAGGGGCGCTTAATCTGGGATGTCCGGAAACCCAGATTGGTGCGGTAGGCAGTGTCAGGGGTTGCGGGGAAATCGAGAAAATTGGGCTCGTTTACATTTGTATCATCATGTTTAACCTTTGGTGTGAGGGAAATATGATATGAAATCAATAGTGGTGCCGCTTTTCGAAAATTGTTAGAACCTCTGGCTTACACATGTCTACGTGGTTATGTTTCCGTTTATTTTACATCAATGACCTGATGAAATTTAAAAAAAAAAAAAACATTTTAATGTCAATTTATTCAACAATAATTGAATAAAGGACATAAAGAAAAGAAGAGAACACCCTTTCCTTTATTCAAATATAAACGTCCTTATTTATGTCCAGTGTAAGGTAAAAAAACAAAAAGTGGTCGGGATTTTAATATTATCTTCTGTGCATGGCTCAATGTACTGTCTGCTCCAATTGATTAACATGTAGCCTTTGCCATCAGAAATAATTTTTAGTTTGTTGATTTTGGGATACCAAAAACAGTTGTCAATCCTCGGTGCTACAAAATAAGTTCTCATGTCTGAAAATAAACAACCACTAGATATAAAAGTTTTTGGTACATATCCTTTATATGCATTTTAAAATTATTCGTTTTATTTATTCCAGTGTTAAAAAAATGTTTGTACTTTATTAACGAGATTCGTAAGATTATCTAAGGTAATCACACATTTTCAGATTTGAGACGACAAAGAACGAAAATTGAAGCGTTGAAAAAATAAAAATAAAATATTTTCCAAGTGCACATTGTTGTCATTTTCTTAAACTATAGAACCACTTGTCTACATTTACATTGCAACTATTTATTCGGGAAACTCTGCCACTGATTGTAAGATTTTGAAGATTCCTGTACTGGATTGTTTAATAGTTCACCTCGAAAATCCATACATTATTATTATAAGATATAATCATATCAATAACATATTAGTGAGTGTCCTTACTTGTACATCTACATCCACTTATTCCTGCTCATTCATGCAGTAATATTAAAAGTAGTGGTAATAACAATAGTAGTTTCAGTAGCAGTAACAGCAGCGTCCACAGTGCAAGTAACGTTTATTTATTAGAGCTTTTGCAAAGAAAATGACTGAAGTGAAAAATCCACGAGGAATTTTCGAAAAAGGTGTCTTACAATGTGTACTAAATTAATGCAAATTTCATTTATTTATTTTTCAATTCAAAACAGCGACAATGTTGTGTTGATTTAAATATAATAAAGATAGGAGAGGATTTTTCAATTAATTTTTAAACGCTATCATTCTGGAAAGTAAAGTATTGAGTTGGTAAGGTAACTCAAAATGAATAAGGCACTGGGAGGCATGTGTGTGAGACACGAGAAGGTATGTTTTTGGGACTAGAGAAGGTATGTTTTTGAGACTCGAGAAGGTATGTTTTTGAGACACGAGAAGGTATGGTTTTGAGACTAGATAAGGTATGTTTTTTAGACTACAGAAGGTATGCTTTTGAGACTAGAGAAGGTATGTTTTGAGACTAGAGAAGGTATGTTTTTGAGACTAGAGAAGGTATGTTTTTGAGAGTAGAGAAGGTATGTTTTCGAGACTAGAGAAGGTTGGTTTTTGAGACACGAGAGGGTATGTTTATGAGACACGAAGAGATGAAGAAATGTATGAGGCGTTTGTAGAACAAAACCTTGGTGTGAAAAGATAAGATATCTTGTCAACTGAATTTGGGAGAAGAATGCCATGGAAGATTCGATTTTATTTTTGCAAAAAAAATTTTTTATAGACCTTCGTGCCTTGGAATGAATCCATTAACACTGTGTCTTATAAAAACGAAACGACGACATTCTCTAAAAGCATATTTTACCGAACTCCTTTTTATTGACATCGTTATGTCATATAATGAATAAATATATATTTTTTTTTAATGTGGTATATCAACGAATATCATCCGTCCAACAACAATGACCAAGTCATTAAATTGATGACCTGCATTTTTAATATGCATATCAAATGTAAGACGTGGATTCGTGTTCCCATTTCATCGTATCTTCTGGTAAACTTTAGGATTAAGCCGAGCTGGTGGCGGGATGGTGATACTCCTAGGAGAGCAGGAACACTCAAATATTTCTTCAAACAGGTCGCCGGTATTGTTCGCCCTTCACATACGAAGGAGATCAAATGATCGATTAGAATAGTAGCCTTGACTTATGATGTATTTTATTTAAAGCAAAGGGAGATTTGCTCAGATCGCAAGCCTCACTCTCTCTTGCTCCTGCCTATTTACTCCAATGGCAAGACTTGGTCAAGAAGACTGGAAATAGACCAGGATGCAGTAGATGACCAGCAGTGTTTTTTTTTTGAGTTACATTCGGTTCTGATGCGTTCCACGTCGCAGGAGTTATCTAAATGTTCATTGTGTCAATGTCAAACCGCCTACGGGGCTCCAACTCCATGTTTGATTTCAGAGTGTGCGTTCTCTTAGACGAGTTGCTTGTCTAGACTTTTGCTGGGGACTGAACTCCAGTCAACAAGCTTTCGGATTGACTTAGCTTAAACCCCTCGACCACACAGCACCGAAGTGGCCGTTACACCATACATCACACACTTGAATATAGCCTAAACCAAACAATGAACAGATCCATATGCACACTCCTCTTGTCTTATTTGTATTGGAAAAACTGAAACATACAATGTTAAAGAAAGAATACCATATTTTTATCCCCAATCAAATTTTTCGTAGTCAAATCCAGGTATTAGCCTAGTTTTAGCTAAACAGATGTGCAGTATCCTGTTTTGAATGCTACCACGATTCCCGTACGACTGCCAGGTTGTCTCAATTGAGGTAGCTTGTTGGGTCGGATCTGACCCGCGTGCCGTTGTATGAGACCCTTTCACTAAGATAAACATATAAGATCTCTGAAATAACAATTTTTATCACATCTTTCAACAACGGAGAATAGCAGAAACATTAAAAATAAAGTTGATCAATGAAAAGGCTGTTCACGCAGACATCACGCTGACTATGATTTAATAAGTATTTTTTTTTTAATTAAAAAAAAACAACAACGTTTTCCTGATGCTCAAAACAATTTAACACTGATATTCAGTTGTTTTTGTTTTTGTTTTTTTATATCTCACATATAAAAAAGAACAGTCGATTATTGCACCTGTTGATCTACTTTAAACAAAAAATTATTACATCTTTTATTTTTATTTTATTTTTTCATAACATTGTTTTCCTTTTGGTGGTAGATGATTTTTGTTTCTAAAGATTTTTTTTTTTATCTTTATAATTTGTTAAAACCAGTCCTAAGATTTAAAAAGGTACCTCAATATATTTCGAAACACTAACGTCTTATTAATTCAATGGTGGCCAGCCGTTACGAAAGCTATAGAAACTGTCAAAATATATTGTTTTTATTCGCTAACGACTTCGCACTAAATTCTAGCTCAGGCCCTAAAGATTTAACAAATTCAAACGGGCTTTGCTAAAGCCTGTCAAAAGCTACGATCTTGACAACAATAAAACAATGACAAATCTATTTTTTTTCTTTAAAAAATGACATAACATTGTTAATGAATATCCGGGCGGTGTAAATCTTCTTAAATCTCGACATATTTTTCTCATGGTCAACTACAGTAGTTTAAGAGTTTTTCTTCATATCAGCCAAAATTAAATGCCGGATTTGAAATCTCCGCGATGGTTTCTGAGAACATTATATCTCAAAATAAAATAACTAGTAGAAGGTGAATAGAGTGGTTGTACTCAATGCTTTCCGATGTACCAGTTATACAAGGGTACAGCAAACCTATAATATACCACTTCATAGTATCCACTTCATTCTGTCTACGCAAGCGTCTTCACATTCAGTGGCAGCTAGTACCCCAATCTCCTAATCCGCTCATTCTCACACAAAGAGGACGCACCCATTAGTCTGGACATATGACAAACGGGAAAACGGACTGCTATTTAAAAAAAAAATGTACTTTGAATAATACCAAAGACTAGAGAAGGACTAGAACAAGTTTCAAAGATTTCCTAAATGTCTTAAATCTAAGTCCATGAACTACTGTCTTTTGATTCGATAACAACGCAATAGAGGCTCACCACAGCCGTAGAAAACTGATCATATCACATAAATGTTGTGTCAGGGCACTAAGCATCAAGTGAGTAAATCTATTCAACCTATCCATAGATACAAGGGCCACTACTGTTGCAGTTTGAAATACGAATGCGGATGGTGTGTGGATCCTACTCACCAATGAATTGCATCTTCCTATTTTTATAAATCAAATATATGTTTTTTTTAAATTGCTTCAGAAATTTAAGATCTGAAAGTTCCAGTGTTAGAGATACCGGGTATTGTGAATTTGAGAGAAAAGCTGAAGACACAATGAAAACAAAACAAAGAATAAAAGGAGAATGTACAAATATGTATTATTAAATTGCCCCCATGCAAAGATATAAAGACCAGATTTATGAACGTGTCGATTTTAAAATCCCGCAAATGTATCTTAAAACAAACATTTTTAAGACATTTGACACTTCACACCGGACGTATCCAAAACGTATGCCAAATTGAAAACTTAATTTTTGTGTTCACATTTTATTGGATTAGCTTTCTGGAGGGTTGTAAAAAAAAATAACCTCATGGGGCACTTCTATTAAGGGTACATTTAATTTATTGTTTGTGGTTTTTTGTGTCAATTCAAACCTTTGTTTCAGTCTAATATGTCCGCGGCATGAAGATCGGAGTGTTATGTTCAGTATTGAAGTTTGATTTACATGAACAGCTTTTCTCTTAAAAATCAACCCGAAGCTACTTAAAAGATTTTGCGAGAGGCATCTTTTATATAGAATATAGAATAGTGTTGCTTGTACGTGGCCCTGTTAGACATGAACTTATGGCGCAGAAGGATACTGTCCCATAAATGTTTGACAACTGTTGCTAAAGCATTTTCACGTCATTTTTTTTTTTTGGGGGGGGGGGGGGTCGGAAGTAAACCAGTCAATGTTATTAAGATCACATGGCATAGTCTTTAATGACAAGCGTTCTCTTCCAAAAAAAATTGTTATGGAGAGATTTTTATTTTTACATTAACCAAACAAAGCGCTGTTTTCCATGGCGAGTGTTGGGCAGATAACTCTTCTTTTCTTAATGACTTAGCAAAACTACTTGTATGGCTTCCCTTTGATTATAAAAAACGTTTCTTGTTTGGTTTTGTTAAAATATTGTGACGTTTCAGTTGTATTAGTTTTCTGATGACAACATTAATCTTCTGTTCTTGTTTCAAGAAATGCAGAAATTCTATTCATCTGTATGTAGAAGTTATTGCTCATACACATACGTTACATTTTCAAATGTATGTTTGTACGTTAAATTAAACTCATCCGTCGTACTTAATTTCATCATGGGAGGCATCCACCATAGACTCCCAGGTTGAACTTGACTCCATCATGGGGGCGGCGACTATAGACTCCTAAATCGTACTAAACTTCATCATTGGGAGACAATCACCATGGAATCCTAAATCATACTAAACTTCCTCATGCGAGGCAGCCACCATGGACTCAGAAGCCATACTAAACTCCCTAATGGGAGGCAAACGCATGCACTCATGTGTCGTTCTAAACTTCATCATGGGAGACAACCACCATGGACTCCTCTCCCGTAATTAACTTCATCATGGGACACAACCATGGGGGGGGGGGTGGGTAAACTTGGGAAAGGGGAAGAGTGAAAATGTTATCTTTTATAGGGGGAGGGGAAGGGGGAATTCAAAATCAAAAATAAAAATGTGTACCCTTTCATCATGTACGAAACCATATTTTTTTTTAAAAACTCAATCTTTGAAACGGAAACCACTCAACAATGATCACACTTTCATGCATCAAGTCTCAAGTGTCTTCGAAGCCAAGCACCACATGTGCACTGGGGATGTCATTTTGACTTAAAAGCCACATATAACACGCTGAAAATATCTTGAATCACACTTTCATGCATCAAGTCTCAAGTGTCTTCGAAGCCAAGCACCACATGTGCACTGGGGATGTCATTTTGACTTAAAAGCCACATATAACACGCTGAAAATATCTTGAATCACACTTTCATGCATCAAGTCTCAAGTGTCTTCGAAGCCAAGCACCACATGTGCACTGGGGATGTCATTTTGACTTAAAAGCCACATATAACACGCTGAAAATATCTTGAATCACACTTTCATGCATCAAGTCTCAAGTGTCTTCGAAGCCAAGCACCACATGTGCACTGGGGATGTCATTTTGACTTAAAAGCCACATATAACACGCTGAAAATATCTTGCATTTATCCCCCAGTAAGCTGACCTAATGCTAATTGCATCAAACTCTTTATTAAAATGTCATCCGCTGTTTGCAGGTCAGTATAAATAGCATTACAAACACAGCTCATCGCCGAGGCACCTAGTGGATGGCTGTTTGTTCTGCACGCCATATAATCCGTGGATTACGTTTTTCAATTCATCCAGATGCCATCCCGTCCACATAAACAACGAGGAAAATGTCGCGCAGAGACGTAGTTAAGCTGATGTTGTCCCACGTATGTTTAAGTTTGCATTGGTTCTCAGATTTTGCCTCTCACCTGCCCCCCCCCCCTTCGCCTCCTCTTCGTTTTTTGTTCAGGTTAACATAATTTGTGTCTGAATGTTTTAAATTTCAAATGCTTTCAACTGTACAACTGCATAAGATAAGATAGATATGATATCAATAGATAATAAGACAATATAAGATATTTTAATGTTCCAACTAGATGATCATTGTTAAGATTTATTTTTTTTATTTTTTTTTTTTTGTTTTTTTTGTTTTTTTGTGGCTGTTTTTTTTTTTTTTTCTTTTTGTACTTTTTTTTTATTTTTAAGTTTTTTTTTTTTTTTTTTTTTTTTTTGTTTTTTTTGTTTTTTTGTGGCTGTTTTTTTTTTTTAATCATCGTGCACTTTCTTTTTCAGTCTTTGAAAATTCTAATAAGTTTTTATGGTTGTTCTTTAAAATTAGTCTCAAATAGTTTGCTAAAAGAATAACTGTTGAGTCTTGGCTTTTGTTTGAACGGAGTTCTCGTTTTTTTTTTCTCCAAAGATCAAGGACACTCCTAATGTCTGTAGCCGTTTTCTTTTCCTTCGGGTGGTTGCCATATGCCAGAAAAGATAATTTTAAATGATAAAGTATGAATGGTAAAAGACAAATAAAAAAGATGCCAGTTAAGCGATTCAGTCAACCTGACATGGCTCCAAGACACACGCTGAGGGCCAGGACCGTAGGGGAGTTGAAGTAGTTCCAGAAGCTTCCGCCAAGTCGTTTTCAAGGTCCACTTCTGGGCGTACTAATGTCCTGTATATGAGGGGTTGTATTTTGAGACTTCGCTTAAAGCTAGAGCGTTCAAAATTAAGGTGCGCGCATAAGATTTTCATACGGAAATAACCGATTCTTCAATCCTTTATTTTTTTAAACATTTTTAGAAAGAATACGTATTTAAAGAGATAAAATGTTATTTAGTGGGTTTTTTTACCTCCTACTACGATGTTGTCCAAGTAATATTAACTCGCAATTTACCAGCAAATCCATTTACTTTAAACGGGCACCATCTCTAAAATATGGCACACACAGAATGTTCTGCTCACACAACCTCGCAAAAGTTAGGGTGACATGGATTACAACTACAGCTAACTTTTGAAAACTCTGATTTTGTTTCAGTGCTGATTTTGTTTAAAATTAATTGGCAATACTTTTTTTTTTTTTTAAATTCATTGTGCTTTCTCATCACCTAAGCGTTTAAATATCCATACTTTACTTATTTCAAAAATACTGTCCGATCTTATTAGTTAGCTTTGTTACAAAAAGGTAATATTTAATGGTATTTTTAATGGTAATTTTATGGTATTTTTAATGGTATTTTTTAATTATATTTTAAATGGTATTTTTAATGGTGATTTTAAGGGTATCTTCAATGCTATGTTCAATGTTAATTTAATGGTAATGTTTAATGATATTTTTAATTGTATTTTTAATGGTATTTTTGTATTGGTATTTTGTATTTGATTAAGACAAGAATCACAGTGCATCCTTTAACAGCTAAAATTTATATTTTTTTACACTTAATCAGATAACCACTAAATTAAATTTATATTAATATTTTCCAAAAATATTTTATCATTTTCAATTGACTATATATTTTCAGTATTTTATTCATTGATTTTGTATTTTAACTTAAGATGAGTTTTAAGCTTGTTTCCGTGACTTGAGAACCGCTATATTTACTTCTTAATCGCGTATCACCTGATTGGTGAATCGCGGACTGATGATGATCCTTGCGAAGACAGTTTTAGGATAACCGATCAGACTGTGTCCGCTCGTCATTTGCCCAGTAAACCTGCTCACTTCAAGATGAAACGTATTATCTGTCTACTGGTTATCTATGTCGGTCTCATAAATGGACGTGAAAAAGGTAAGTCGTTGTTGTGAACTAGAGTGTTGGGAATGTTTGGTAAGGGTTAGGGGGGGGGGGAGTTCGTTGATCGTGAGACTGCTCAGTGAGTTGCTGATCGTGAGGTCAGAGCGTGAAGTTGGTTCGTGGTGCTGAGCTTCAGCGTATGGTGAGTGTTTGTGTGGGGGGTGTAAAAGAGCAGAGTGTCAGTTAGTCGAGAGATGAGCCCGAGAGTTAGAGGCTAGAGAAGCGAGATCGTCTAGCGTGGTGAGAGTCCGAGAGTCCCGAGTAGATCGTTAGAGTTGTCAAGAGTCGAGCAGGGAGAGGTAGTGTTTATGTTAGATTCGCTGTGGGGCTTGTTGCCTGAGGTTATTTCTCAGCCAGATATATATATATATTTACCAAGTGGGGATTTTGGTACATACAATGCATAATTTACAAAGGACTGTTCAGTGTTTGAGTTACTTGACCGAGATGGAGATACGAGAATTAATCAAACAGTTCTGACATGAGGCTAGACATTGAAGTATTCGCCATCGGAGGTGTTAGACAAATGACAGAAGGCCAAAAACAGCCGTGAAAAGTGTATAGCTTTGTTATCAAAATGTCAGTTTTAGCGATGGTCAACAATAAAAAACAAAAGATGAATAGGGTGCCTATGACCTGTGATGCACCCTCCTTGCCCTACCTCATTTTCTGTTTCGGCTTAATCCTGAAGTGTCAAAGTGTCCTCTTTTTATAGCCATTTTCATTGTTTCTATAGAATAGTAGTTACTATCCTAGTGTCTCATTTTTATTTTACTTAGTTTACATGTTTTAATAATTGTAAAGCGCTTAGAGCTTTATGATAAGCGCTATATAAAAATGCCTAAATAAATAAATAAATAAATAAATATCGTAAACAGCATTGGACGGAGTGTTACGCATTGCCTTCTATAGCTGGAAATTAATCTCTTAGTTGAAGTTATTGGCTCGTTGTAATCAGTGCCTATCAAAGGACGAGACAATAGAGAAATACAATAGCAAAAATACGACACTCAAAACTGTTGCTAATTAGAATTAATAACATTTCTTTAAGTATTCATGTGATTACAAAAACAAAAGAAATATAATTACAATCATCAACTTACAGAGTATGAGAAGTCTTGTACCAGTAGACAGTTAGTAGAACGGGACAATTAATAATGTACAATGATGAATGCGAATAAACACATATGAGTACACACAGAATAACACAGTTGTGTTGTGAAGTGAAAAATATCTCTATCAATCTCTCTGTTTGTCTTTCCATTCCCCAACTTTATATATGTGTATCGCCTGTTTCTAAGAAGATTCGGCGGCAGAATATACATTGTAGTCGACACCCGAATCTTCTTCAAATTTCTATAATTTATTGTAATTTTGTACCACATTCGAGTCAAGACAAACAGACGATAGATTGTTTTTGGTAAGAAAAAGATCAAAAGAAATAGGCCACGCCCTTAGCGAACGCAGTCTATTTTGGGGTCACACAGACTTCACGGCACGGGGAAAGTGTGATGTAAACACGTCCTACATAACACAGAGAAATATAGAATCCACCTTTTTTACATTTCATTTTTGTATTAGTGTCTTCTTCTTTCAGTTGAATACATGGAAAGAAAAAAAAATTAACTTACTGAGAATAATATTATCGACGACAGGCAATTTTTTTTTTTTTTAAATCACTAACGTTTGGTTCATTTTTACCTTTTAACATTGGTTCATTTGTGAATTTTACGTTTGGTTCGTTTGTACCTTTTAACATTGGTTTGTTTGTGAATTTAAAGTTTGGTGCGCTTGTACTTTTCAAACATTGGTTTGTTTGTGAATTTAGCGTTTGGTTCTTTTGTACCTTTTAACATTAGTTCGTTTGTGAATTTAGCGTTTGGTTCTTTTGTACCTTTTAACATTAGTTCGTTTGTGAATTTAGCGTTTGTTCGTTTGTGCCTTTTATTTTGGTTCGTTTGTACCTTTTAACTTTGGTTCGTTTTGCCTTTTAACTTTAGTTCGTTTGTACCTTTTAACTATGGTTCGCTTACACCTTTTGACTTTGGTTTCATTTGTGAATTTAAAGTTTGGTTCGTTTGTGCCTTTAAACTTTGGTTCGTTTGTACCTTTTAACATTGGTTTGTTTGTACCTTTTAACATTGGTTTGTTTGTACCTTTTAACTTTGGTTCGTTTGTACCTTTTAACATTGGTTTGTTTGTACCTTTTAACTTTTGTTCCTTTCTACCTTTTAACTTTTGGTTCGAATTTACCTTTTAACATGGGTTCGTTTCTTCCTTTTAACTTTTGGTTCGTTTGTACCTTTTACCATTTGGTTCGTTTGTATCTTTTAACATTGGTTAGTTTGTACCTTTTAACATGGGTTCGTTTCTTCCTTTTAACTTTTGGTTCGTTTGTACCTTTTACCATTTGGTTCGTTTGTACCTTTTAACATTGGTTTGTTTGTACCTTTTAACATGGGTTCGTTTCTTCCTTTTAACTTTTGGTTCGTTTGTACCTTTTACCATTTGGTTCGTTTGTATCTTTTAACATTGGTTAGTTTGTGAATTTAACGTTTGTTTAATTTGTAGCTTTTAACTTTTGGATCGTTTGTACATTTAACTTTTGGTTCATTTGTACCTTTTACCGTTTGGTTAGTTTGTATCTTATAACACTGTTTCGTTTGTGAATTTAACGTTTGTTTATTTGTACCTTTAACTCTGGTTCGTTTGTCCCTTTTAACCGTTAGTTTGTTTGTACCTTTTTAACTTTGGTTCGTCTGTATCTTTTCGTCATTTCAGCCCCGGCAGTTCCACCCTGCGATCGGGTCGTCTGTTACGTGACCTTGAATGGAATGCGTCGGCCAGGGGTTGGGGGGTTCCGTCCAGACAAGATACCACCGAAGTTCTGCACCCACATCATCATTGGCCACATGACGATTGTGAAAAGCGAGCTAAAGGCTAACATGAAAGCTGACCATGATATGTAAGTCGTGGAATTTCACGTGCATGACTTATTAAACTAGCTTTTAAATGCACTTGGATATAAACCATGCCCAGTTACATCGCGAACCAATCTACAATCAGTGGAGCCAGAACAATGAATACATTGATTGGGGGGGGGCCCTCAAAATCTAGAAGAAGAAGAAGAAGACTAACCTAGCTAAGCAAGACTGAAAATACTGAGGGTGGATTTAACCACTTAAAGCACAAATTCATTGGGCGTAGGCAACAAGACAACAACAACAAAGAAAGCGGTTTAAACATTTAAAAAAAAACTAAATTCACTTACATAAGTCGCGAGACGGTAATCAAGTAAGAAGCCAGGTAACCCATTAGAATCTGAATTTCAATGTCTAAGGTCAGAAGCCGATGACACCATCTTTCACTAAAAAAACCCAAATGCAATTACTTACGTCTTAAAAGTGAAGCCACGTTATAAAACTGGGATTGAAAATTCACATTGTAAAAAAACAGTGTACTTCTTCTCTTATATTGTGAGGACCCATGATAAATCTATTGGTCATTCTCGCTCCTATGCTTCATTTATTTCTCGTTAAGCTAGAGTTTACGCTAGTAGTTTGTTGTTTTTTTTTTTTTTTTTGGGGGGGGGGGGGGGCGTTAGTTAACACTTACCACAGTGTCACTGCAATATTGTTATTTTAAAATGTATAAAAATTCTAAATTTTTTTTTTTAAAAATAAAGAAATATTAAGCCATGATTCCAATGCACTCCGTACCTGCCAGATTCAAAGAGATGCTACGGCTCAAAGTGCTGGAACCACTTCTGGATGTCATCGTCTCGGTCGAGGCGAACAAGCAGATATCGGAGTTGGTCGAAGACGATGAAAGGCGTCTCAAGTTCGTGGCGTCCGTGGTCAAATACCTGCGTGAGATGGAACTGGACGGGCTGAACCTCGCACTCGTCAATCCCAACATCATACCGGAAGAACCCGAGGAAAAGCTCAAATATTCGTATCTGATGAGGGTAAGGTCTGTGATGCTTAAAAAAAAAAAAGGTAGTTTTCATTAGTTTGAACGGACCAGATAACACCGAGGGCCAAACCCTTGCTCTATAATGCCCTAAAAAAAAATATGTTTGATTGATTCATTCAAACTAGCATTTGTGCAAATATTCAACAAGGTGTCTTCAATACAGTTGTAGCTGAGTGGAATTATTGGTTTGAAAGTTTGGCGGATACAGCCAATAACGTTGAGACACGCTGTAGTTGTTATTTCAATAAGGCACAAGGGCTAGAAAATGGGGGATGCTGTCGGAAAATATACGTTACGTATACAAACACAGGCTAATTCAGTGAAGCAAGCATTTGGTTTCGTGAACTTTTGGGTAATTTCAGGCCATTTTTAGTAGGAAAAGAAGTAGTTTAGGGGCGTGAAAGGGAAGAAGGGTTGTCGTATAATACACATCTGATAAATACTTCTCAAAACTTAACTATGTTAGAAACGTGACTATCAATTACATGGACACTTCTTTTTAAAGTTAGAAATTGTGATGAGATTTCGCAATAGCAGGTATAAAAATATAGCAAAGAACATACCATTATTATCCTGATAACATCGGGTCATATATTCTAGTATATATATATATATAAGATTATACCTGATTCGATACTCCAACTGTCGTTGTCATGCATGGGAGTTCATTAATAATTGTTGCACACCTGAGATTATATTTGATTGTGTGCGGTGTGTCTTTGAGAGTTTAAATAACTTAGTGAACGCTCTTCCCTGAGCCTTCTGGGTGGCGTATTTTTTTATGCTTATTATGACGTATTGTCTAGTCTGTGTTGTGACGTATTTTGCATTAGTCGGCAGTCGTAAAAAGGAACTTTGTAGACGGAGGTTGTGTATTATTTCTCTCTGATAGCAAAGCGGCGCTATACACGTGTATATGGTATTTACAGTCTTTTCATATAATTAGATATTAAAGATGCATTGATTAAGAAAAATGACTTGAGTTGATTCAGTTCTTGTACGACGTATTACAACGCGTAAAAGAACTTGATGAATTAACCAATGCAGCGTAAAACTCTACTGGTGTTTGATAACTTTTAGCATGAAAAAAGAAAGAAACACCCCCAAAAATGTTACATAAATAGATGCCCGGTGTCAGATGAAACATAATATGGTTAATTAAGGTTATATTACATTGAAAAAAAACGCAAAGAGATTCCAAGAGTTAAAGAATCCCCTGCCCCTCCTGTTTAATTTTCGTTCAATAAAATCTCAAAACTCCAAGGATCTACAAGAAAGCTTCCAAGAGGAGGCTGAGAGAACTGGTAGAGATAAGCTGCTTCTCGTGGCGGACGTCAGTGGAAACGACATGAAGAGCGATCAGGGCTACGAGGTTTTCGCCTTCTCACGGTGAGTCCCTTAGCCTATGCCACGGTGAGTCCCTTTAGGCTATGCCACGGTGAGTCCCTTAGGCTATGCCACGGTGAGTCCCTTTAGGCTATGCCACGGTGAGTCCCTTAGGCTATGCCACGGTGAGTCCCTTAGGCTATGCCACGGTGAGTCCCTTTAGGCTATGCCACGGTGAGTCCCTTAGGCTATGCCATGGTGAGTCCCTTTAGGCTATCCCACGGTGAGTCCCTTAGGCTATGCCACGGTGAGTCCCTTAGGCTATACCCCGGTGGGTCCCTTAAGCAATACCGCGGTGAGTCCCTTAGGCTATACCGCGGCGAGTCCCTTAACGGTGAGTCCCTTTAGGCTATGCCACGGTGAGTCCCTTAGGCTATGCCATGGTGAGTCCCTTTAGGCTATCCCACGGTGAGTCCCTTAGGCTATGCCACGGTGAGTCCCTTAGGCTATACCACGGTGAGTCCCTTAAGCTATACCGCGGTGAGTCCCTTAAGCTATACCGCGGCGAGTCCCTTAAGCTATACCGCGGTCAGTCCTTTAGGCTATGTAACGGTAAGTCTTTTAGGCTATGTCACGGTGAGGTTTTTTAGGCTATGTCACGGTGAGTCCTTTAGGATATGCCACGGTGATTTTTTAGGCTATGTCACGGTGAGTCCTTTAGGCTATGATGTCACGGTGAGTCATTTAGGATATGCCACGGTGAGTCATTTAGGATATGCCACGGTGAGTCATTTAGGATATGTTATGGTGAGTCCTTTAGTCTATGTAACGGTGAGTTATTTAGGCTATGTCACGGTGAGTCCCTTAGGATATGTCACGGTGAGTCCTTTAGGATATATCACGGTAAGTCACTTTGGAGATGTCACGTTAAGTCATTCTGGCTATGTCACGGTAAGTCCTTTAGGCTATGTCACGGTGAGTCCTTAAGGCTATGTCACGGTGAGTCCTTTAGGCTATGTCACGGTGAGTCCTTTAGGATATGCCACGGTGAGTCCTTTAGGATATGCCACGGTGAGTCCTTTAGGATATGCCACGGTGAGTCCTTTAGGATATGCCACGGTGAGTCCTTTAGGATATGCCACGGTGAGTCCTTAAGGATATGCCACGGTGAGTCCTTTAGGATTTGCCACGGTGAGTCCTTTAGGATATGCCACGGTGAGTCCTTTAGGATATATCACGGTTAGTCACTTTGGAGATGTCACGTTAAGTCATTCTGGCTATGTCGCGGTAAGTCATTCTGGCTATGTCGCGGTAAGTCATTCTGGCTATGTCGCGGTAAGTCATTCTGGCTATGTCGCGGTAAGTCCTTTGGAGTATATCAGATTAAGTCCATTTTAGCTTGATCTCGTTCAAATACTTAGGAAATGTCAATGTCATTCCCTTTGTCAAAATTACATTTTAATTACGAGAGTTGGTTCAGTGGACATTTTTCATACATACGTTTGAATGTCGAATGGACATTTTAGATGCATGCTTTTGAATTTGTACTGGACATTTTAGATGCATAATTTTAATGTCAAATGGACATTTTAGATGCACACTTTTGAATGTCGAATGGACATTTTAGATGCATAGTTTTGAATGTCGAGTGGACATTTAAAGGACATACTTTTGTTCGAGTGGACATTTAAACCACAGACTTCTGGTGTAATGGACTTATAGATACAGATCGAACAGGCATTTAAACAACATACGTTATGTCAAATCGACATTCCATGTTAGAATTAGTCGTGAGACAGATCGACAGCTTGACAAAAGATCAAACAAGAATGGTTTTGTTTTGTTGTTTTGTTGTTGTTTTTTGTGCCTTCCGAATGAAAATTCATTATTTGATTTTTAACAACTAGGCTGAGTGTGACCTTTCTACACTCGGCCCTGTCTTTGATATCCTCAAATTAACAACTAGGCTGAATGTGACCTTTCTACACTGAGCCCTGTCTTTGACATCCTCAAATTAACAACTAGGCTGAGTGTGACCTTTCTACACTCGGCCCTGTCTTTGACATCCTCAAATTAACAACTAGGCTGAATGTGACCTTTCTACACTGAGCCCTGTCTTTGACATCGTCAAATTAACAACTAGGCTGAGTGTGACCTTTCTACACTCGGCCCTGTCTTTGACATCCTCAAATTAACAACTAGGCTGAATGTGACCTTTCTACACTGAGCCCTGTCTTTGCCCTACTCAAATTAACAACTAGGATGAGTGTGACCTTTCTACACTCGGCCCTGTCCTTGACATCCACAAATTAACCACTAGGCTGAGTGTGACCTTTCTACACGTGGCCCTGTCTTTGCCCTCCACAAATTAACAACTAGGCTGAATGTGACCTTTCTACACTGGGCCTTGTCTTTGCCCTCCGAAAATTAACAACTAGGCTGAAAATGACCTTTCTACACTTGGCCTTGTCTTTGCCCTCCTCAAATTATCAACTAGGCTGAATGTGACTTTTCTACACTTGGCCTTGTCTTTGCCCTCCTCAAATTATCAACTAGGCTGAATGTGACCTTTCTACACTGGGCCTTGTCTTTGCCCTCCGCGAATTAACTACTTGGCTGAAAGTGACATTTCTACACTGGGCCTTGTCTTTGCCATCTACAAACGTAAAGCTTGACCTCTTCTTGGTATTTTGTTACAGGTACCTGGATTTCATCAACATCTTGACCTTAAACTACCACGGCAACTGGGACAAATATCCCGGTCACAACAGCCCAATTTTCGCAGACGACGGGTACAGTATTGTAAGCAAACCCTGGGACTCAAACTTTATTTTTTTTTTCTTTCTTTTTTTCTTTCATTTTCTGGAGTCAAACGATTCCATCGCCTCGATTCAAATCTAAATGTTATAACTTTTTAAATACAAATTGTTTTAAATATTTTTTTTTACTGAAGATTGATGGGATGTTCATAAAGCTGAAACGTTCCAATTTAAAAAAAAAATGTTTACATTATCTACTTTATATATATATTATATATATATATATATATATATATATATATATATATATATATATATATATATATATGTGTGTATATAAATAAATAATCCAGATTTTTCAAGCACGTTTCTAATTTACATTAGATAAATGTACATCTTACAACCAATTGAATAATAGCTACTCTTGCCTTCGTTATTGTTGTTGCTGTTTTTTTTGTTCACGCTAATTGTGTCGGTGTTGCTCTCAGGATGAAACCCTACGGTACTGGGTCCAGCGGGGCATGACCAGGTCACAGATCAACGCGGCTATCCCGACGTACGGACGGAGTTATCACGTCACCGAGCCGGAAAACAGTCAACCGTACATTAGCGGCACCGGGATAGGGGGCCCCGTCACCAAATCAGTTGGTTTCCTGTCGTTCTTTGAGGTCAGCAGTCATTCGGGTTAACACAATTTTTTTTTTCTTCTTGTGGGTTCTTTGCAGAGATGAGGTTTATTCAACTATGACATAATTAGGCCCTTAGCAGCATCAGTAACAGTGATGAATGTAGCACTGTGACCATGATGACTGCTAGGACTGTGACCATGATGACTGCTAGGACTGTGACCATGATGACTGCTAGGACTGTGACCATGATGACTGCTAGGACTGTGACCATGATGACTGCTAGGACTGTGACCATGATGACTGCTAGGACTGTGACCATGATGACTGCTAGGACTGTGACCATGATGACTGCTAGGACTGTGACCATGATGACTGCTAGGACTGTGACCATGATGAATGGTTCTGGTGCGACTATTGTTTAGATTTGCCTTCTTCTTTCTCCTATATTGGATTTTTTCACTGGTTTCAGCAGAAATCCATTCTTTATCCGTTTGTTGCCTAGGGCCCAACACTTCTTCCCAGCTAGTCGTGAATGTCTCTTTGATTTCTTTCCAGTTTTTGTCAATTTTTTCCTCATTGCCTGATTCCTTTAGGATCTGGAACTTGTTGGAGATGGTAAGTTTAAACTCCTTTGGCTTGGACTAGTCTTTCAAGAGGTCGGTGTTAAAATGTTGGCGCTTGCTTCCCTCATTAGTCCAGTTCTTTTTCAGTTTAAGCCTTAGTTTGGCAATCAGTAGATGGTGGTCTGAGGTTACATCTGCCCCCCCCCCCTTTTTTTTACCCTTACATCTTGGAGCGATCGTCTAAACTTATTGCATATACAGAAATGGTCATTTTGGTTAGCCGTTGACATATCTGGTTAAACCCATGTCGCCTTGTGGATATTTCTATGCATGAAGGCCTCCTCCGATGACCGGTCCATCTGTAGCAGATAGATATGCTAGTCTTTCACCATTTTTATTCATCTCTCCCATACCATGTGTTCCCATGCATTCTTCATAGCCTTTATTGTTTCTGCCTATTTTCGCATTTGGGTCGCCCATGAGTATAACCATATTGCTCTTAGGACACCTTTGGACCGGGGTTCGCAGTCTGTTGTAGAAATCCTCTTCTTTACTATTGTTGGTAGGAGCGTATACTTGTACGATGTCAATATTGATTTTTCATTTTTTTTGGTCTTAAATCTTGCCGTGATTGTACGGGGGCCATGCGCTTCCCACCCTATAAGTGCGTTCTGGGAAGTTCTGGAAAGCATGAGTGTCACTCCCTTGGTTGTGCGCCGCATTTTCATCTTCGTGGCCTGAGTAGAGCAGCAGTTCCCCCTGTGTTGAGCTTTATCTGACCTGAGCCTGTCCATCGAGACTCACTTATTCCTCAGATGGCTAGTTTGTATCTCTGCATTTCAGCAGAAACTTGGATAGTTTTTCCAGTTTTGAACATGGTCCTTACGTTCCATGTTCCTAGGCTGGTGGTGGTCCTAGTGGAGAGGATGGTTGTCCGCCGGTGGGTTTCCAGTTGGGCTTTGGCCACCCAGCTTCATGAATTCTCTGTTAGGAGACCCATCCTTTCCAAGGTCCGAGTTTTCCTTTGAAATCATTGTGCGTGTTTTTGTAGCAGGGCTTTTTTTTACAGGGAATGGTTGCTAGCCCTTCACCTAACCCTCCTCCCTTCTCACCCGGGCTTGGGACCGGCTACGGTGGAGTTGGGGTGAGGGTAACAAGCCTTTAAATTATGGAATAAATAAATGATTTTTTAATGAGTTTTCTAATATTCATTGTTTTAGTTTATGTAATATATTCACATATCCCTTGTTAGCTTCTGCAAAGCTTTTCATTTAGTTTAATAATTTTCCTTTTTCTAAATTTTAAAAATATAAATGGCTGTCCGAATATGAATAGGAACGAGACAATTAGTCAAACAATTTATAAGGATATGTAAAAATATGTAAATATATATATATATATATATATATATTAATTTGGCAAACCCTGGCCAAGAATAAACAATGCTGTGAACATGTCTTGGTAACGAGTTGAATTTTTTTCATTCTTTTTATTCTTCTTCTTTTTTTTTTTTTTAAAAATATATATTCACTCTACAGTTATGCAAGGTCGTCAAAGACGAAGGCGAATTCTTCATTAGCACCATTGAGAAATCGGCTATCTACAAGTACGAAGGCTTGTGGATCACGTACGACAACGTCGCGACCATAAGATACAAGGTAGGCCGCCCACTGCTCCCGTTTCGTTTCTAGAACTCTATTTCTCTATTGTTTTAGGCTAAATCCCCGCTTTTGAACGCAGTTAGCGCCCAGTAAGGTTACACGTTTACGAAGAATCTTCAGACAGGAATTAAACTTTACTTCCAAGTGGCTGGTTGGGTTAAGCAGATTTTTGTATTTGGAATGATAAAATTTTAAAATCTGTCAGATTATTCTGGACTGTTTTTTAAGTGTTCAACTGAAAGGTCACATGACCGCAACCTCGCTTAACGATTGGCCGATGCATTCACTGCAAATCCTTTGTCGCGCCTTTCATCTTTGATACGAATATGATGCATTTTGACATATACTATATGTTATTTTATATTATTATAATAGGGGTATATATTATATTTTAACTGTAGAGTAAAAAGCGAAATCGATTGTTTTTCTTCAACTTCCTGGAGTGTATCTGTTTAAAACTAAAAAGTAAGGGGAAGAAAACATAATTTGTACATTACAAACCGCGGTTCTGAAATGCGTTGCAGTTACATTGCATTGGGCTTTGGGGAGAGTAGAGTTTATAATACGTTAAAGGTAAAATTATAAGTTTAATTCTGTTGTTTTTTTTTTCAAAAATATTTGTATTCTAAGTTTGGCACTCACTTACTCTCCAATGTCTCAACAATAGCTAAAATGTTTGGCTATGATGGCCACTAAAATGTGTGTCTGTGATGTCCATTAAAAGGTTTGGCTGTGACGTCCACTAAAATATTTGGCTGTGATGTCCACTAAAATGTGTGTCTGTGATGTCCACTAAAATGTGTGTCTGTGATGTCCACTAAAATTGTGTCTTTGATGTCCACTAAAATGTGTGTCTGACATGTCCACTAAAATGTGTGTCTATGATGTCCACTGAAATGGTTGTCTGTGATGTCCACTAAAATGTGTGTTTGTGATGTCCTATAGAATGGGTGTCTGACATTTGCACTAAAATGTGTGTCTTTGATGTCCACTAAAATGTGTGTCTGTAATGTCCACTAAAATGTGTGTCTTTGATGTCCACTAAAATGTGTGTCTGTAATGTCCACTAAAATGTGTGTCTTTGATGTCCACTAAAATGTGTGTCTGTAATGTCCACTAAAATGTGTGTCTGTGATGTCCACTAAAATGTGACTCTGACATTTCCACTAAAATGTGTGTCTTTGATGTCCACTAAAATGTGTGTCTGTGATGACCACTAAAATGTGACTCTGACATGTCCACTAAAATGTGTGTCTCTGATGTCCACTGAAATGCTTGTTTGACATGTCCACTAAAATGTGTGTCTGTATGTCAAATAGAATGGGTGTCTGACATGTCCACTAAAATATGTGTCTGTGATGTCAACTAAAATGTGTGTCTGTGATGTCCCCTAAAATGTTTGTCTGTGATTTCCACTAAAATGTGTATCTGTGATGTCCCCTAAAATATGTGTCTGTGATTTCCACTAAAATGTGTGTATGGGATGTCCACAGAATGTGTGTCTGTGATGTCCACTAAAATGTGTGTCTGGGAGTGCACAAAAATGTGTGTCTGTGATTTCCACTAAAATGTGTGTCTGTGATGTCCACTAAAATGTGTGTCTGTAATGTCCACTAAAATGTGTGTCTTTGATGTCCACTAAAATGTGTGTCTGTAATGTCCACTAAAATGTGTGTCTGTGATGTCCACTAAAATGTGACTCTGACATTTCCACTAAAATGTGTGTCTTTGATGTCCACTAAAATGTGTGTCTGTGATGTCCACTAAAAAGCCTACTTTAAAGAGTTCCCAAACTCCGAACGATGGTTGGCTGAAAATCAGCTGCATAGGAAGAGGGTTTGGGGGGGGGGGGGGGCTTGGCGTTAGTCCGCTTTTGTTTTAGTCCGAAAATTTTATTTCAGGTTTTGTACTCAATTAATCTCTCATTTGTTCATTTTTGTTCTTGATGAGAATACGATTTTATTTTCCATGAATGGGTTTCATTGTGGGGGGGATTGGGTTTGGATGGTGGTGTCAAAATTAACTTCCACCACGCACGCTACAATCTCTTACTACTCATCTGAGCACTGTCTACTCTATACCGTAGTCTGAATACCACTCATCTATGTATACTGCACTTTCGACTATGTGTTTGGTGCTGGGTTTTTGTTTGTTTGTGGTTTTTTTTTTTCATTGACGATAACATTCTTCTTAGGTTCAGTTCTATCGAGAACGTGGTTACGGGGGCATCGTCATCTACACGTTAGACTTTGACGACATCTACGGCACTGAGTGTCACGTGGGGGAGTTCCCGCTCACGAAGGCTGCCGCAGAAGCATGCGATATACTAACTGACTATGAACCTGAAACTGAATATTAAACTGAATTTGAAACTTAAACTGAGTGAAGGTATTTGCGATTTTCTTCACGGGAGATTTTTCAAATACTTTGGGAATAAATTACTTTATCAAATTTTGTTTAAAACTACTTTAGTATTATTATTTGTTTTTGTCTTTGTTTTGTTTGTTTTATTTTATTTATTTTTTTTTGTTCGATCGCTTGAACTACATTTTAAGGTTTTAATCTTAAATAGAAATGAACTTTAATAACATTTAATAGACAAAAATAATTCAATAACAGCGGATTCAAGAGGACACTTTCTTAGTTTTTCGATCAAATTAATTAATTTATAAAGAGTTAAGTCTTAAATAGAAAATACGTAGATTAATAATTAATTTAAAGATATAATTTAATGACGGCGAATCTATCAGAAGACTTAAAAAAAAAAAATATCTGTCTGAATTGATTCTGTAAGACGATTATTTTTAAATATTTAAATTTAGGTGTTTTTTTGGGGCATTTGTTTTTCTAGACCAGTAGTTCTCAACCTTCCTAATTCCACAGCCTTTATTACAGTCCCTCGCATTGTTGAGACCCCAACCAATACGATTATTTTCACTGTTACTTCATAAATATGTGTTTTCTGATCGTCTTAGGCGAACTCTTTGTAAGGGTTGTTCGACCCCCCTAAGAGTGGTCGCGACCCACAGGTTGAGAGCCGCTGTTCTAGACTAATGAGGGAAATGACAGCATAAATATCCCATTTCTTTTTTTTTTTTAATGGCAAGAAAATGTCCGTATTTGGTAGACTTAGATTGTTTTCATCTAAAAAATAGCATAGAGTCCGTTTTAAAAAAATAACTTGAATGGTTTAAAATTTATTTTGTTTAATTATTTATATTTATATGTATTTTATTTATGTATTTATTTTTTTGCAAACGAGACCCAATCTTTAACGAGACCCAATCTTTAACGAGACCCAATCCTTACCGAGACCCAATCTTTAACGAGACCCAATCTTTAACGAGACCCAATCTTTAACGAGACCCAATCTTTAACGAGACCCAATCTTTAACGAGACCCAATCTTTAACGAGACCCAATCTTTAACGAGACCCAATCCTTAACGAGACCCAATCTTTACCGAGACCCAATCTTTAACGAGACCCAATCTTTAACGAGACCCAATCTTTAACGAGACCCAATCTTTACACCCCCCCCCCCCCCCCCCCCCCCCCCACCCCCCCCCCCCCCCCCCCCCCCCNCCCGCACTGACCATAAGAATCGGAAGGTGATATTTCTTTTAATTAATCTTTTCTTTTTCTTTTTCTTTTTTTTTCAGAAAATAATTCCAGACGTATTTTCTTTTTTTTCTTAAATTTCCACCACCAAATCTGCACGACTGACTAATCACCAGCTTCTTTTGAAAGGCTTTGATGTGATTTTTTCATTTCATTATTAGTTCTTTCAAATAAAAAAAAACAACAAGTTAATAAAACTGTTCACTGTCAACTGTTTTATTGTTGTTTTTTTGGGTTTTTTTTGTTGTTGTTGTTGTTGTTGTTGTTTGATTGTTTCTCTGTGTTTGTGGGTCTTTGTTTTTTTTTACTTGTGGGCTTACCTGTTGGTATATTACAACATGTGTTTGGATGGGTTGTACGGAAAATGCTGTAGTCTATCTCATGAACGTATTGCCACCGTTTATAAGCGTGTATACATCAGTTGTTTCATCTCAAGGACACATGATGGTCAGTTTATTAGAGTCAGTTGTTCCATCTCATGGATATATTGTCAGTTAATATCGTCAGTTGTTCCATCTCATGGACACATTGTCCCTCTATCAGAGTCAGTTGTTCCATCTCAAGGACATATTGACAATTACTAGATTCAGTTGTTCCATCTCATGGACAAATGACCGTTTATTAGCGTCAGTTGTTCCATCTCACGGAAATATTGACAATTATTAGATTCAGTTGTTCCATATTATGGACACATTGACAGTTTATTAGCGTCAGTTGTTCCATTTTATCTCTTCTCTTCTATATCTTAAGGGCCCACGATCAATTTATTGATCATTTTGGCTCCTATGCATGTAGATGGGATTTGCAATGTTTCTGTTACTGGTGGTGATGAGGAAATTATGCACTAGGGGTTTGAAGGCTTGAGGCAATAGACACAAATGTGTCTAGATTTGTCGCCTCAACTGTTCCTTTTGAAAGATGGTTCCAGTCCCTGATTGTCTTGGGCAGGAATGAGCAGCTCCTATACTGGCTTCTTGCTGGTATGAGCCTGAATTGCCTGTCATGGCCTCGTCGCTGACAGTCCCTGATTGTCTTGGGCAGGAATGAGCAGCTCCTATACTGGCTTCTTGCTGGTATGAGCCTGAATTGCCTGTCATGGCCTCGTCGCTGTCTATGGGGGAGAGGGACGAGTTTCTGTTTAATACTGGAACAGTGGACCAGCCCATTATTTATCTTGGACACATTGACAGTTTATTAGCGTCAGTTTTCCATCTCATGGAAAAAAGTCAATTGAATAGAATCAGTTGTTCCATCTCAAGGACATATTGACAGTTTATTAGCGCCAGTTGTTATATCTCATGGACATATTGTCAATTCTTAGAGTCATTTATTTCATCTTATGGACACATTGACAGTTTATTAGCGTCAGTTGTTCCATCTCATGGGAAAAAAAGTCATATTGCTGGCATCCGTCAATGTGACGTCAATGTGACGATGGTGTGGGCTTCAGCTTCGGAGGTTTCAAGGATGAAAAGCTGGTTCCCAACAGCAACTCGCCTCTGGATAACCCAAGGGAACATCAAGGGATGATACCTTGGGCACCTGCAGGGGGGGTAAGGGGGAGGGGCACTTGTCCCCCCTGTATTGAGTGGATAAAAAAATTTTAGACAAAAATAGACAAAAAATGTATTAAAGTAAAGAGAAAATAAAGAGAAAGTAACTAAGCTGATGTCCTGTCCGTTCGTTCACCATACAAATACGCTACAGAAAATTAAAACTATATTAAAACATTACTAAAAAAATTTTGCCCTCACCCTAGAAAGTTAATCGATTTTTTTTGCCCCCCTCCTAGAAAGTTTTCTGCGGGCACCCATGGGTGATACAGCTTGGCACCAGTGACGTCGCAGGAGTTGTCGGAAGGTTTCATTGTACCAACGTCATCCGCCTTTCGGGACTCCATCTCCGGGTTTGATTTCAGAGTTTCCTTCTCTTAGATGAGTTGCCATCCAAGGCTAACGAGTCCCATCTACCCGGTGTGCTGGTGTTGTTTTTGTTTGACTGGGCTCTGGCTGGAATTGAGCTCCATACGACCAACTTGAGATTTGCTCAGTTTAGACTACTTGGCCACCCAAGACATACTGACAAGGCTGCACCTATAGGTACCCGGGTACTTTTAATGGCAAATAACTATTCGCACCCGGAGTGGATCCGTACAGATTAAATGGCTTCGGAGCCGAGTGTGATAACAATGATAGTATGAGAATTATTTTTTTAAATTGTTTTTTCTCCTTGTTATTTCATAGATTCATAGTTTTATTCTTTTTAGTTGGTTTTCTTTTTGGCTATGTTAATTTCTCTTAGGACGGGTAGATTTTTTTTCTTTCCTATTTTCTTTTTTAGTTTAAGCCATTTTCGTAGATCATTTTTTTT